AAATTTGACGCCAACGCGGTTGATGACTTGATATATACACATGTTTTGTCCACCATTCTTACACCGTTTGAGTCTTATTTCTCGTGTTTTAGGCCGATTTCACGCTAGGTTTTTCTTGTTTGTGATATTTCAGGTCCTAGTACGTGAATGAAGGTTTGGGAACGAGTTTGGGGTCGATTGGACAAAGATTGGACGTTTGGCGAGAAGCTGAGGAAACCAACCGGGCACCCCTAAAAACCCACACGGTCGTGTGACCTGGCCGTATGACACCAAATTGCACGGGAAAGCCACACTGGCCATGTAGGGGACCCCTTGTGGCCGTGCGGAAAGTCTAGGGAGCTCACACGGGCAGCCTGGAAATCCACTCGGCCGTGTGGTTTTGGCCGTGTAGCATACCTGAAGCCACTTAAGTGAAACGCGGCGTTTTGCACACTCACACGGGCAGCTGGGAAAGCCACATGGCCATGTGACCTGCCCGCATTGTCGGGAATTTCTGGGTTTTAACCCAAATTCGAGCCAAAGGAGAGAGAATCAACTTTTTGGAGCAAAAATAGAGCCCTAGAGAGAGAAAGTGCAAAGAACACATCATAGAAGTGATTTTGGAGCTGGGTTTCATCAATCGAGCTTGGAGATCATCACAGGAGTGAAGATTGACATCTCAGAGCAGATTCTTCCCATTGTTATGAGTATGACTGCTTTGTATTCTGTTTCCCTCTCTCTCTATGGAGTAGAACTTTCTCTCACTTGGGTATGAAGAACCCTAGTTCCATGTGTTAGAAATCTTGATTGTAATTACGTTTGGATTGTGATATTGCTTGATTATAATCGATTGAAGTGTTTTGGTTGAGTCAATTGAAGCTTGATCATCTTTTATTGATTTCTGCTGCAACCTGAGATAGATAGAATCTGATTAGGTTGTTAGAGCTTCTTCAATTGGTAGTAGTGAATCGATTATACGAGAGTTAGTCGATTCACTGCTTTGTACTGGAATCTAATTCCAGTAGTGGAGTTTTGTGTTCATTGCCTCAGCGTTCTATCCCGGTGAAGACTAGTCGTCTGCCGGGTAGTTTGATTGAGAGGGCTTGGTCAGCTTAAGAGATTCCAAGCTACTCTCGGATCTTCCGCAGTATAATCAGCAGTACAACAACCAAAAGTAATTACAACTGTGACCTAACTAAGGAGCTAGGGGGACTCATTCCCGAGTGACTCTTCCTTTGCTTTAGAAAACCGAACCATTTCCTGCTTTCTTACTGCTTTTACTTAAATAAACAATCACTCAACTTAGTTTGCTAGATAACAGATATACACGGGGTAGGCAGTATATCTAGACCCCGGGTTGACAATTAGAGCTTGCCTGTTACTGCATTTCCGGATTCCGATTACACTTGGTCACAGTTTGGTGTTGTGTGTTAGCGTGTCAGCGGTCTAGATCCCACGACCACGTCGGGCTCTTCAACTCGCGACAAGACTAGCTCCTTCTTGGATACTTAGTAGCCTGGGGCTTAAAACTATTATCATGAGGCCTAGTTCAAATAACATTAATTGTCATTAATGATCTGGCCTTAGAAGGACAGTTAATGCATTGTAAATAATCAATGTGGTACAAGATTATTTTTTGGGTGTAAACACATAAAGGTAAAAATGCATACCTCAACTTATACATTTAACGTTATGGTACAACTTCAAGTTGTACATTAAAACACCAATGCTATATAGCATAGTAGAAGTGCTCAGTGGTATGGACGTGTGGTTTAATGGTTTTTGCTTTTTGGTCGGTGGGTGGGTGCGGGTAGGATCACGTCCTTAAGTCCCAAACTTAAGAAGTTTCTTAAGGTTTGGTTGGCCAATAGGAAAAGGAGAGAGAGGGAAGAATGCTAACTACCTAAAAGGACAATTAGGAGATTATATAAAAGAATTAATTTGATTAATAATTAAAATAGGTAGATTAAATAGGATACCAAAGGTAAGATAGCCTAACGGTAAAGCTGTCACAACAGTGAAAGTTTGAGAGTTGCGGATATCACGTTCGAATCCAAGCGAGCCCCGTTGGTGTTCCCAGAGGTACAAGACTGCTCGAGGTGAAGGACCGTTGACATCGAAAAAAATTAGTAGGACCCACCGTAACAAAGTGACACGTGGGGTTGAGGGTGCTAAGTAATAAAAAAAAACTCTACCCACAACTTGGCGTCGCCATTTGTTTTAAGGCGGCGTACCATTCTTTGAGAGAACCTTCTCAGCAGTTTAGGATTTATACGAATTTCTTTTTCGTGTAGGTATAAGTTATTATTGTGCTGTAGGTTTGACGTTGAGAAAAGACGAGATATTATTAATAATGACTTTTAAATATCCTAAACTATTATAGAAACTCATATTGTTAATGACACCTCGCATAAATGTCAATAACATTACATTACATTGTTAACAGTTGTATAAAAGTTAATAATTTAATTAAGGTTATTGATAACAGTATATAGTTTACGTAGATAACTTTACATTATTAATGATACCTCGCAATGCATAATAGTTGATAACGGTACTGATGACCGTAGTTAATGATACCTCGAATAAACGTTGATAATGTTAAACTACAATGTTAACAATTGTAGAAAAATGTCAATAATTTAATTGATGGTCACTGATAACGGTATATGTTTTACATAGAAATAAATGTTCTACATGCATGAGCTTCGATAACGTTATGTTTCATAGTTAACTATTATTTTAAAAATGTTAATAGTTTAAAAATAGGGTATTCTTAATAACTTATATGTGTCGCATTGGAAATACAAGTAAATCATTGATAATGATCACATATATATGATTAATAACCATAATATATGTTATTAAGGGGAGTTCTGCGGCACTCAAGGTGAAATCCGGGGTACCGCATACCTTGAGTAAGAAAACACTATCCAGAACTTGAATTAACTGATCTTTCGGACATGATACTATACTCTAATCCTTAGAGATCAAAATCTTGGTCTTAATTCTCTAAATCATATACCGCAAGATCAATTTAATTAGAAACAATAATTGGCAATTATGATTCGTCCAAATATAGACAAAAAAATCAATGCACCATCTTAGTGTTTATAGTTTATGATTTAGATAATTAGGACCTGGGATTCACTTATTAAGGGTTAGAGTATAGTATCATGCCCAAAAATGCTGCTAATTCGAGGTCTAGATAGCGTTTTCATACTCAAGGTATGCAGTACCCCGGATTTCACCCGGAGTACCATAGAAGGCACCTATTATTCATAACGCTCTTCTGTAAACGTTGATAAAAATATAAAACAAAATTAATAGCTGATATGATCCCAAATTGCTTGTCATTGAAGCTTCCATGGATTGATCAAGAAGAAAGGTTATTGAGGAACAAAGAACATAAAATTTGGCTAAGTGTTTTTGATGTTTCAGGTTACCAACTTTGGAGGCTCGGTTCTTTCAATTCGCTCAATGGAAATTGGAGTTTGATGGTTTGTTTTGTACGTGGAATATCCCTAAGCAAGATGGTTGCCATAGAAGTTCAAGATGAAGACTGGAAGGCCAAGATTGAAGCTCCCAAAGTTGCCAAGTCAAAACCGAGAATCTGCCTATTTTTTGCTAAGGCAAATAACGAGTTCAAGGGGCCTACTTTGGAGCCTAATATCTGGAGCTTGGGATACATCTAAATGCTGATTCAAGTTGGAATGGAAACTAGAACACTTTCTAAACCCAGAGAAGCCATTGGATGAGATTGGTTCAACGTGGACGACCATTTTTGAGGGCCTCAAAGAAGCTACCTCGAACTGCCAGCAATCCGAGTCCTATAAGGATTCCTAGTCCTCTTCGTATTACAATTGTAATTTAGTTTCCTTGTTGAATTAGGCTAATTTCAAGTTGTGTAGTAGTTTGTTTGAGATTTTTTATGCCTATAACAGGCTTAGTTCGTGTATTGTAAGAGGCAGAGTTGATTTGAATAAAAAACCCCAAAATTCCCAACTTGTGCGTTGTGAGTTTGTTCTTAGTTTTGGTTGTGATCAAAACTTGTTGAAACTAGCTTATTGATCGAGCAAACCCACTCGATTACATCGAAGGAATCCTTATAACGATTGTGCAATCTCCCATGTGTGAGATTTCCCCTTCGTTTCCATCCCATCGACGTTCAAACTTGCTTACCAAGCTTGTTTGATTTTCCCTTCGATTCCTTTGTTTGTGGAGAAGCCTGATCCTTAAAACCCATCTAGGGCGTTATCAAGTGGCAATCAGAGCCTGGTTCTACACAGTGGCGAAAAGTTCAACGGAGGGAGGCGACGCCGGCAAGACGCACTGGACAAGGTCGAACGACTCAGTTCTGGAGGAGCCCTCTGTATTGCTGTCCGAGAAGAAAAAGAAGAAGAAACAGGCAGCTGCGGTGGCGAGTCAATCGATGGAGGTCGACATAGTGACTAATAGTGGCGAGGAAGAAGCTACAATGGGTGAGATCCAACCCATTACGATGCTGGAGTTGCAGCAGTTCTTCGAAGAGCAGATTGCCCTGTTCCAGACCCAGCTGACGAAGCAAGACGAGAAGTTGCAGGCTTTTTCGACCAAGTTCGACAACCTAAGTTAGCAGGTGGAGACGATGAGTCATCATGGTGGAACGGCTACGACGATGCCCACTGAGGTCGCCGTTCATTGAGGAATTCTTCATCTGCCGGTGGGGAACCCAAAACCTGATCCTATGCTGATAGGACAAATTCAGGAACTCGAGAGACAATTGATGGCCCTCGAAGTTCAGCCAATCGACCAACGGCCATGCAATCGGCCATAGGTTGACTTTTCCTGCTCTGAGCATGAAACGGAGGAAGCTCCGGTGTCGAAATTGTGTGGGATAAAATTGTCGTTTCCAACCTTTCATGCAACGACCAATGCCTCTACTTACTTGGATTGGGAGAGGAAGATCCTCTTGTTCTTTCGGTGTGGACAATATTCCGAGACCCATAAATTACTCCTAGCTACCTATGAGTTCCAAGATTACGACACAACTTGGTGGGAGCAGTTCCAAGTCCGGCGATGGCGGAATATGCATGCAGAAGTGACAACCTAGGAGGAATTGAGGGGGATTAATGCATGAAAAGTTTGTGCCACCGTATTACTCGCGAGAATTACATGAATCCCTGCAAGCAATTCGTCAAGGATAACGTACAGTAGAAGAATATTCTAGTGAGTTAGAATTGATCATGACGTGTGCTGACATCCGAGAGGATTCAGAGACGAAAATTTTGCGATTCTTGTCTGGATTGAGCAAAGAGATTCAGTACGAGTTGAAGCTCCGACATTTTGTTGATCTAGAGGAAGCAATCCACTTTGCAGTCAAGATCGAGAAGCATTTGAAGCAAGAAACATCAAGGGATTTGCTGCTCCACGACAGAGCATTACTCAAGAATATGCTTCGACCGCCACCCCAGCCCCAATTCGTGCTGTGAATTTGAAGCCAATTCCCCAGCAAAGCAGTCAAGATAGAACTAGAGGCTCAATTAGAAAATTGGAATGCTACAAGTGCCATGGAAGAGGGCACAAATCCTTCTAATGCCCCAATCCGAAAGCACTAATCCTGCGAGATTGTGAGTACTATTCGGAGGACGAAGAAAAGGAGAAGGGAGCTTATGATGAGGTCATGGATGAGGAGGTGTATGAGAACATCGAGATGGAACCACCATGTGGTAATCTCCTAGTTAGTCAAAGAAATCTCAAAGTTGAAGCAGAATCCAAAACTCAATAGCGAGACAACCCGTTTCACACCCGCTGCACATTTCAAGGGAAAACCGCGTCAGTGGTGATCGACGGAGGAAGCTGTACCAACGTCGTCAGCTTGGAGACTATAAGGAAGCTTGGGATGAGCAATACCAAGCATCACAATCCCTACAACCTGCATTGGCTCAATGATCATGGTGTTGTGAAAGTGACGAAGCAGACATAGATTGAGTTTGAAATCGATCAGTACAAAGATCGAATTCTTTGTGATGTAGCTCTTATGCACGTTGCTCATATCCTTTTCGGAAGATCTTGGCAATACAATCGTGGAGTTACCCACCATGGCGATCAAACTACTATACTTTCAAGCATGAAGGGAAGAAGCTCAAGCTGACACCTCTGTCACCGATTGTGTTTCGTAACGACCAAAGGCAACTGGAGTCCAATCGAGCTCAAGGAAAGGAAGGGAAGGGTACAAGGACAAGTTTAATTGCCCAAAGACTGGTGCCTACTGCTCTACGACGAGAAAGAAGCCCACACCAGCCCGTGAAGTAGCAACTCGGTTCCTCGTCGACGGCGAGACAGAGGAGGAGAGAGGGTCTGTTGGATGGAAACTTGGGAAGGAAGTCGATCCATCCCAGCAGTGCAGAAACCTTCCCCGAACCATCGAAAAGCTTGCACATGAATCCATTAGCATCGATGCAACCTCAATCAATGGATTGGATTCGAGGCAAAAAGCCCCTGGAAACGAGCAAAAATGACCAAAATTCGGGGTTATTGGTTGGAGATTTTGGGCACGATCCGATCCAAAATGCTAATGCGGAATCGATGAGGAAAGTCCCAGGAAGCTTTAGAAATCTTCAATTGAATGTGGCGATACCTGAAATCGAAAGCCCCAAAATTGAAATCGAAAATTTGGGTTCATTCTTTTTGAATGACTCGATGGCAGAAAATTCGAGTTGGAGATTTGATTTTGAAGGAGATGAGTCGACGCTGGAGACCAGCGCAAAAATGCAATTGGAAGTCAGGCGAAGCTCGGGGCAGTTTCAAATTATACTGGAGATCCCTGGAAAAGATAGCCCCAATCTGCTCGACGATGAACAGTGTTCTCGAATTCAAGAACAGGGTGTTCGATCAGCCTACATCGGATCCAATTTGGTATCAATTTTTTGATTCTTTTAAATCATTATTGAACTATCAACCTGGGATGGTGAGGTAGGCTCTCTTACTCCATGGAAGTTTGATCAACAAAAAGCTTAGAACTGCATTAGCTATAATGATCATCTTGGATGAGCTGCCATTTCGCTTTGTTGAGCATGAAGGGTTTAAGAGATTTATGGTGGTAACCCAACCATTGTTTATGATACTTGGAAGGCAGACAATAAGGCAGGATTGTTATATCATCTTTTTGGAGAAAAAAGAGTTGCTAACTAAGTTCTTAAATTCCATGTGCAACAGAAAAATTTCCATCACCACAAATACATGGACTTCTGATAACAATCGGAATTTCATGTGTGTGACTGCTCATTTCATTGGTGGTAACCGAAAGTTTCATAAGAGAATCATTAGCTTTGTTCCCATCACTCGTCACACAGGGAAGGATATTGCAGAAAAATTGGCAGCATGTCTAAAAGAATGGAAGGCACAAGATTTGTTCTCCATTACAATGGATAATGTTACTTCTAATGATGTTCTCGCAGAGTGCATGAGAACAAAGATGAAAGAGTGGGGAACAAATTTGCTTGGTGGGAAGTATCTGCAGTTTCAATGTGTGGCACACATAATAAATTTGATTGTGTCAGATGGATTGATGAAGGTTGGAGTTGTTGTAGAAAGAGTTCGAGATTGTGTGAAATGGGTGAAGTCATCACCAGATAGGAGTGCAAAGTTCAAATCTAGCATTTCATACTTAGATATGGATGTAAAAAGACTTGTATATTTGGATGTTCCAACTAGGAGGAACTCAACTTATTTGATGTTGAAATTTGCAGAAAGGTTTGAGCTTGTTTTTAACTTCATGCATTTGAATCCCAATGATACTTCATTTCGGGATTATGTGGACTCGAAGAGAGGCCTTCCAACTAAGGAGGATTGGAGCAATATTCGGAGGCTAATGAAGTATTCGAAGTTCTTTTATGTGCTCACCTTTTGTGTATCGGGTATGTGAACTCCAGTTCTTCAAATTCATGTTTTTTTTACTTTTATTAACTTGTAATTTGTAAATAATATATTGTTATTTATTAATAGTTTATCCCTCAAACCATTTTCACTTATAGTTTTCTCCATAAAATCGAGAGAACATAAGGTTGTACCAGTCCCTAAGAGACGATATCCCAATTTCCGGTTTTACTACAAGCTAGGAATTAAAACATTACGCTTTTGCCCTATCAAGTTACCCCACACTTAATACTTGCTTGTCCCTAAGAAGCGACTCAGACAAAGAACGATAATTGGATGAAACACAACACAGACCACACAATGACAACCTTGCTCAAAACACACGACCACGAAACACAAAACACAACATCAACACCATAAATTGGCCCATTTACTCTTGTGATAATTTGTAGTTTCTTTCTCAATGGATGCATTGTGCTTCAATGATCATCCTTTCACCCCACACTCAAGTTCCTTGCAATCAATTACCATTGTCGGACTCAAATATGATGCGACTTACCAAATTAGCAACACTCAATTTGAGCGTCGGTAGCGGATAACTTAAGGTGAAAAAGTTAATAGAAAAATCTGACCACATCAGTGAGGTGCATATCTCGTGAGGACAATTTGGATTACTCACATCAATCATAAGGAATCAACTAAGCACAAGAGTATCAAAAACACATGAGGGAAGCTTTTTAGTAAACTTGGTTTTAGCTTTAAGCACATCACTACCTTTTCTAACAAGGAGAGTCTTTCTCTCTTTCTGATTTATTTGCCGAGTAGTCGTATTTAGTATAAGTGGCATTTGTTTCTTACTACTGGTGATCGAGCAAGAGCAATTTCTGCTTCTTAGCACTCGCATAAGGGCTTCTTTCAACTTCTTTTCCTCGATATGTGTGGAGGGTCAATGCACATTCTCAAATGGCACTTCACTCGGCAGAGGATTGTACTTGAAAAGCAACATCGTACGGTCGCGAACCAGCGTTCAATTGAACCTTTCCTAATCCCCTCTGCAATGAGTGATTGCCTCACACGATTTTGGTACTTTACACACACTTTAATTGTTATGGAAACTTTCTTATATTTTACTGTCAGGTAGGATTTTTTATTTTAGAAAGATACTGTTCACCCCATCTAAAACATTCAAAAACAGAGAGACTCACTGGCAAAGTCATAAGCTCACAGAGATGCAGGTAAACACGATATCCAAACATGTCGAATGGTCAATGCTCTCCACCTAACCACTTTACCATTAAGACATTACATTATCCTCCTAAAAGAGAATGTTCTTAAAAGAGTTTGCTAATTCAAAGCATATCATATCAGTAAAAACATCAAGCTCATAGTGAATAACTTTGCAATTCAACATTAGTGGGGTGATTTTGATGATTTCATTCATGCAAAAATCATTTAAAAGGCATCCCGGTCATTTACATCACATTACCACAAGAGTACAAGGTTTTTTCTTCTTCTGATTTTTAGATGCTTTTTAGCCATTAGGTTAGATCAGGCAGACTGCACCTACACAGGTAGATTGCATGCAGTTGGCCTGTGCACAACCTAATGGCAGTTTTTTCACTGACCACATGACAAAAGGAACAAACAAACACTAAGACTCACCACCCCCACACTCAGGATGGAACATTGTCTCTAATGTTCAACTCTTATTCTAAACATGCACGAGTTTGACACAACTAAAAATAAAAGAAAAGAAAAGAAACTAACCTTGGGTTGCCTCCCAAGAAGCACTTGTTTAGCGTCCTTAGCTTGACGTTCATGGAGCTTTCAACCAATTGGTATTGAAAGGTATCCAGAATACCCTCCCGAGCAATGATAGAATGCATAACCTCCATCCAACATACGAGTCACCTCTGCAGAGTCAAGTGTGCGAAAATTTGGTATGACCTTCTTAGCTTGCATGTTGGACCCTTTAGTGAAGCGTAGGTGGTATTGCAGTGCCTCAAGCAAGTACACTTCCTGTTTCAATGTCAGTGAAGAATGAATAATAACAGGAAGATTGAAATCCTTACCCAAATATCTATACTTGAGGTGACCTGGCAAGGATTTATGTCTTTGCTTTGATTTAAGGATTTGAGCTGATAGGACATGTGATAGTTCTTCGGGTGGTCCACTATCATAGGATGAGGAATTTTCCCTTTCTCGAGCTCCACTTTCAAAGTTATCAATGCACCGTGATTATGATCAACTTGAAAGACATTAAAAATTTCCTCTTCCTTACCTACTCTGATGGTCAACTTGCCTCTCCCGATATCAATGAGTGCATCGCCAATGGCTAGAAAAGGTCTACCAAGATGAGAGGCACTCTCTGATCGTCTGTCATCTCTAGAATGACAAAATCTATTGGGAGAATAAACTTCCCCACCTTCACCAATACATTCTCCACCACTCCCTTTGGAATTTTCACTGATCGATCAGCCAATTGGAGAGTGATCCAAGTAGGCTTAAGAACATCTCTCAATCCCAATTTCTTGTAGAGTGAGTATGGCATCAAATTAATTCCTGCTCCAAGATCACAAAGAGATTTATCAAACTCTGTACCTTCAATGACACATGGAATAGTGAAGCTGCCCGGATCATCCCTCTTTTCTAGTAGTTTATTTTGAATCACAACACTACATTCACAAGTAAGGGTTACCTTCTCTAAATCAGCCCATTTGTGCTTCTTTGTCAGCAACTCCTTTAAGAATTTAGCATATGCATGCATCTGTTCAAGTGCCTCCACTAGTGGTGTGTTGATATGAAGTTGCTTGAACATATTCACAAATTTCTTGAAATTTGGGTCTTCCATGGGCTTCATTAACCTTTGAGGGAATGGTGCGTGAAGTTCATAAGGCTTTACCTCTTTATTCTTGGATTTTTCCACTTTTGGAGGTGCATAGGCAAAAGGATCATGCACAGGCAAACTACATGTAGTTTGCCTGTGCAAGTAAGATTTTTCAGGTTTTGCACTTTCTTCATCATCTATCTTTGCAGCTCCTTCTTTTTCTATTGGATTTTTCTTGCTCTTTGGATCCTCCAACTCCTTCCCACTCCTCAATGAGACAACTACAACCATGGCATCCTTTGGATTTCTCTCAGTATTTGCTGGTAAAGTCCCAGGAATTCTACCTTGAATATCTGCCAAAGTTTGAGCCATCTGGCCTATTTGCCTCTCCACAGCTAACAGAGATGATTGCACATTAATGTCGATAGCCAACTGTTGAGTGACAGATCGATCCAAGCCATTCATATTTTTATCTGTTTTCTGTATATGAGCCAAATCAACTCCTCCAGCTGGGGCATCTTTTCAGGTTGAGGCTGCTGCTGTTGAAAAACAGGAGGTGGGATGTTTCGAACACCATCCGGATTATTAATTGACCAAGACAAATTGGGGGTGATGTCTCCATTAAGAGTTATATGTATTTGAATAGATACCACCCTGGCCTTGACTTCACGGAATTTTTTTTTTTGGATAAAGGTGATATAGGTTCATTTTGTTGCTATTAAGGTACTACTTAAGGGATTCGAACCTGGGACCTCCAGGTTCTAGGCTAGTGGTGTTACCACTAGGGCAAGCCCTTGTTCGTTTGACTTCACGGATTATTGATATACTAGACATCCTCCAACTAAGCAACTCCAAGTGGACACATATCCCTATGAGGAGCACCCTCACAAAGTTTAACAAAAGTGCAACTGAGCAACTCCAAGTGGACACAACTCCAACAAAAATGCATAGTCTTCTAATAGACTCATGGAAATCAAAGAAAGTGAAGACAAAAGTCATAGGGAGAGGAAATTCTCTCCCCAAGCCCAAGACTTGTACACCTCCTAAATCGTCTTCACCAACATTCAAAATATGTATTCTTCTAATAAACTCACCAAGATTAAGAGTGAGTATTGATCTTGTGCAGACCAAAGTAAAAAAAAAATATTTTAATGGCATCCGGGCCCACCACTGCCCCCTAAACTGGCGTGCCAACACAAAATCATACCTTGACTCATGATTGCCCCCGATAATGGGGAGCCTCCCCCGTTGGTGGGCCTGACCCCTCTACTCTCTCCACCCGGATCTTGCATGTGCATCATTGCATCCGGGCCCAAGATCTAGTCTCTCCGCCGGTGCACTATTGCCCTGTCTTAATCCTGCCTAGGTACCTGGGATCCACCTCTCGCCCGACTTCTATTACCGCCGGCCGCTGGTGCACTATTTCCCTCGTTCTTAATTTTGTTCGTGACACCCGGGCTCCACCTCCTGTGTGACTCCCGACTCTAGGTACCCGACAACGCACTATTGCCCCGGCACCCGAGCTTCACCTCCCGCCCGACTCCTGCTACCTGTGGTGCACTATTGCCCCCCGCTTGATTTTTCCTCCGGTGTCGGGACTCTGCCTCCCCCCGGATCCCAGATCCACAGTTACTCCCACTCCCACCTCCTGGAATGTGGATCCATTGCTTGCCCTTTCACCTGTATATGTGGCATGCAGTCTCATTAACTAGTTTCCATGTGGCAAGAGTTGGCTCATAAGGCAAAATCATAGTTGACAATGTACAACCACATGGCAGGCGCAGGCGGACCTCGACGACACATGTCTGGTGATGTGTCCATTCTCACCTCCGGTGCCGACACCTGTCCTCCGTTTGTCCCCTAAGTAAATAGTATAAAACATGTTCATATTCTCCAAACGAAGGTAAGGCAACAGACCAGGGGGAAGTACCCTGAGAGCGCCCACTACCATCAGTAACTCTCATCTTCGAGGCTCACCTCCTGCAAACACTTTGTGAAATATTTTATCCCCCATACCGGAAACTAACTTGAGTGTCAGAGGGTGCCCCACTAAGATCGCCGACGAACCTTTTTTTTTTTTTTTTTGCAGGAAGAGATTAGAGGCTACATCACTAAGAAAGGTTACGATGAAGGGGCACATCAAGCCGCTTCGGTGCCCAAGATAGATGAAGTCGACGTCAGCGACAACCTTGACATCAACAGTTGTATTTTACTTAAATATGAATGTGGTTTGTAAAGAATTTGTGTTGAGATATGTTATACATACGTGATGTTACTAGTTTCTCACTTTTCTTATATATATTTATTAAAATCAATATAAATTGGCATATACCAGTTATACACAATCAAACCACATCACTTGGTAAAATAGTGTATCGATATAAACCGGCTTGACATTGAGGTCACCAACCCAAAAAATCCAAATTCCCCCCTTCTTTTACAACATCGTCTTAAAGCCCAGTGGGCGAGAAAGCGGATTTTTCAAACTGTCATTTGGGCCTAACAGTCCAATTCAACTACCAACACTTGTCCTCTGTGAACTTCTGCCGCTATCGGATCAAACGCCAAACCCTAACCTAGAAAAAGAGAAGATCTTTCATCAGTAATCGCGATTACTTTCGCCATGTCCCCCACTCCCAACTTTTCAACCGAAGAAATGGAAGTAAACATTTAAATCAAGTAGAATCAAAACACAAATTACGACTACCGTTGCAAACTTTCCACCCGGCGGAGCAATTGCGCGAATGGAGGACGGCGCTGGCGGCGACCGCAAGAGCAACGGCAAACTGAGAGATGAAGAACCGGACGGCATGTCCGTACACTCTCCCTGCAAAGCTCCTCCTTCTTCCGCTTCCTCTCTCCCTAAGGTCTGTCCGCTCCTCTCTCTCTCTTCCTTTTTTCCAGGTTCGCGTTTGGATTTCTGATGATTCCTGGTTTCGTTCGAGGATATCGCAGGAGCAATCGCAGGTCGAATTGGAGCTAAGGCTGCTGGAAGCTCTCGCGATTTATCCTCCCGTCAAACTCCGAGGTAAAGCTCTTTCTTATCCTTTTTTCCCTATCGTTTGGGATGCTTTTGATCAGAATAACTGGGTATTCATCGACGGGAAGCTAAAATTTTAGATTCAGTTTGATCATGTAGCTAGATTTGCTTAGTGAAATATGTTGTTTGATATGATAGGAATGCAGGTTTTAGATAATTTCGCTCTGAATTGGGTGACTCGAGAGTCGAGATTAGCCATTAACGTCGGTTGTTGAGTTCTCTGCTGTGCTATGCCATTGAATTGCTACTCTGCTTTGCTTTCTCCTGCCACTATTCGCCTGTTTTGTGGGGGGAAAGTGTACCCTGGTGGTTTAATCCTGCTTGGTATTTTCAGAAAGATTCCAGGTGAACGGAAGTCTGAGGCAAATAGTAATAGCTTCACAGCATTCTGATGCGTGTATTTATCGAATGCTTAGGCTCACTAATGAATGGTTCTTCCTTTTTCTTCTTGCGTTCTGCAGGAATGCACCGGCATTTTGTGCTGTATGGTCTGATGGAATTTCTTCGGAGAAGGTTGTGCACACTCCACATTTTGAATCTGGTTTCCAACATTTGTAACAACTGCACATTGGTTACAGCTCTCTGACACTAGTTTTTTCTTTGCCGTGGTCACAGCTTTGATCGATATTTCTCTCCGGATGAGGTCATGCAACTGCTGGAACGATTCTATAACATAGAAATGCTGGTAGATCACTCTCCATTTCCTTGTTAATAAGGGAAAAAGAGATGAGTTTAGGATATGACTTTTAAGATGTTGGGCAGTCACAAATTCATATTTCGATTCGACCCAATTAACAAGCAGCGGGATATATACAGGAATGTCTTGTGGTGTGTGGGAACACACTAACTGCATTGGTTTGCTCTTCTTTGCTGAAATTTGCAGAAACCGGACGATGAGGAGGCGGAGATGCTTAGCCAGGAAGAAGATTTCAGCTTGCCACAGAGCTATTTTGTGAAGGAAGAGTGATGAAACTAGTTGGCTTTTGCTACATTAATTAGTGCAGACGGGATGAATTGAATCGTGTACTTGCAAATCCTCTTCTTCTTTTTGGATTTTGCTTGGCAATACCGCCCTTCCAAAATGTACCTATCAAATAGCCTGTAAATAACTAAATATAATTAGCCCGCTAAAAGGAGCTTTGGTTCGCCTATCAAATAGCCTGTAAACAGTGAAACTTCACTTGGTTAATAGAATGAGGAAAAAATCCAAAACTACCACTGTTTAAAAAAAATTATAAAAATACCACCCATTCCCAACAATTTTCAAAGATACCACCGTTTATTAAAAACTGCGCCTCTAATAGGCGGTTAATATATAAACCGCGCCTCCAGGCAGCGGTTTACATCATAACCGCCTTGCCAATAGGAGGTTTTTAATTTCAGCTAAAATTGCTCCTCAAAGGCATGGTTTATATACTAACTCTACCACAAAACGCTTCATGAGGAAGCGTTTAATTGTCGACATGATAAACCGCCCCACCAGGCGGCGGTTTGTGCCTGGTCACCCGTCATCAGACATGTCGGCATGCAGGGGGTGAGGCTGCATGGCCAACCTAAAACCGCTCCCTCACCCGCGGTTTGTGCTGCAAAATTCGCCTATAAAATGCTGTTTCAGAGAACTCAAATTCTTCACACTCCTCCTCCTTCAAATTTCAGTTGTGGACCTTTAAATTATTTAGTTTTTGCGATTAACGTTAATTCGTAAGTTTGTTTTGCATTACTTTTCATTGTCCTTTGTGATTTTATGTTAGTAACTTAATTACTTTTCATTGTCATGTCCCCTTTTGTATTACTTTTCATTGTCCTTTGTGATTTTATGTTAGTAACTTAATTACAGTTTTATTGCAGATTTCATTCCAAAGGTTCACGCTTGGGTTGCGGTGGAATGGTTACACGGAAGAGACCGAAAAGGGTGTAAGTTACGTCGGTGGCAATTTTTATAAAATGAAGGTACGTACGAGACCGATGCTTGAAGAGCTCCATCAAATGTGCACTCAGATTACCTGCATGGATGGCACTAGAAGAGTTGATGGTGTATCGATATCCAAACAGATATGACGGGTCGCTGTGGAATGAGGAATTCCTCCTTACCACTCAGGAGGACGTTGATGCCATGGTCCAATTTTTGACCACCAATAAAATTAAGCAAGCGGAGATGTTCGTTTACACCGAGGCCGTCGAAGGCGGTGTAGGTCATTCTGGAGATGGCCAAACATCTGGTATCCACGGTGGGAGTGTATTATACGAAGATCATCCCCACCAGGATTTCCAAGACTCGAGCTGGAGGTAGGAGTATCATGATGGAACTGGAGGTCATCATCAATCCTTCCCTTCATATGAAGAAGAAGCTCAACAGGCGGATCACAACCAACAAGCAGGCTACCAGTACCCACCCGAGTACAACTTCTACCAAAACGGTGTTAGTTACCACAACTACCATTACGGAGCTGGTGAAGGTGCCTTTCATGATGATAATCAGATGGAAGAAGAGGTCAATCCAAGTCCAGTTAGTGACCCTGAGGTTGGAGAAGAGAAAGTCAAAGTTAGTGCAAACAACTTCGATCCTCTAGAAGGTGCTGATGATTCCGGTCCAGATTCAGGCGCAGACGGTGATGAGGTACCTCGCGAACGTGTACCTATCCCATACTACAATCACATTCAAAATGAAGATTGGCATGTTGATGCCGACATGGACCCGCCAGAGGTGCCAGTATGGGGTCCACTAACCGACTTTACGAATGGCTAACAATTTGCAACGAAGAATGAGGTCCGACACGCTATTGCCACTGAAGCAATGACTCGGAGTTTTGAATGGCAAACAACCCATTCCGACACAAAGAGGCTGATGGGTAGATGCAAAAATGAAAATGAGGGATGCAAAGCTAGGGTCCGGGCCATCAAGAGCAAGAGAGTCAGGCATTGGGTCATATCCCGTGCGTGAACACACACACATGTGTGTCATCAATAACATCCCAAGGCCATCGACAGTTGAAATCAAGGGTGGTTACCGCTGCTATCAAAGATCTAATTGAGGAGCAGCCCGACCTGAAGGTGAAAACCATCATCGCCGACATTTCTAGTAGTTATGGTTATATCATTAACTACAAGAAAGCGTGGCATGGGAAACAGAAAGCAATGACCGCCGTGTTTGGTGACTGGGAAGAATCATATGCATTCCTTCCCAAATTGATTTTGGCGTTGGAGGTGTCTAACCCTGGCACCATTTTCTCGCCTCGCTACCAAGATGAAGAAATTCAACCGTCGGTGCCTGGTAACAAGCGCCATTTTTTGCGTCTTTTCTGGGCATTCAAGTCATGCATTGATGATTTTCCATACTGTGTTCCTGTGATTCAAGTTGATGGAACATTCCTTACCAGCAAGTACAAGGGTACTCCGCTGTCAACCACGTGATGGATACTTGGCCCTTGGACAATGGTGGATGACCATCCGCATCGTGATCTCCCTTTTCTGGCGGACACAACCCGATGACCGTCCATATAAAATTCTGCCAACCACTCATATTGACAACAACTTTAGGTGGTGGCGTAGAGTCCACACAAATAACATCACCATCGATGGGCAAATCGGTTAGGATGGCGATGTCCTTAAGTGTGATGGTGCACTCGCCTTCACGAAAATTGAAGCAGTGTGTCTCCTTTCGCCATCTCTCTACCAATGCTGTGATGAGTTGGCGGGCGATCTTGATTCCATTAAAATGCCTAATCGAATCCAATCTTGCCCTTTTTAGAAAGGGCAAGATGACCTCGTTCCATTCAAGCACGTTCGTCGTGCCCGTATAGCGTACTATATGGTATGCATCCTAGAGAAGAATTTAACTTTCACTATAAGTTGATGATTTATACATATATAAATATATTATAAGATGCAATATTAATTAAATCAAGGTTGTTTTAGAGAAATATACATTATCGAATAAACATTAATTTTAACATAACTAAAATATCTTATAAGATGCAATATTAATTAAATCAAGGTTGTTTTAGAGAAATATACATTATCTAATAAACATTAATTTTAAAATAACTAAAATCATTTTCGAAATTTAAGTATAATTATTTTTTGTACACATACATATAAAATCAAATATATTATTTTGTTAATCTTATTGATTATTTTCAATAATTTAAAGCAATACAAGTACACTCGTAAGACTCTTAAGAGAGGTATACATCTCCTTGGTATATAAATAAATTAGTATATAATTTAACAACAACATAAATCAATTAGTTTATAAATTAAATAAATCATTATAACAACAACAATTGGGTAAAATGAGTACGTACCGCTTGATAATCATCATAGTAAATGCCCTCTTCTTGGATAAAATCAGCCATTTTTTCAGAATCCGGACAGAGATTCGACGGGTTTTTAGTGAACACCAAAGAAAAAGTTTTTTGAAGGCAGATCGGACTTAGCCGCAACCAACAAAATAACTAATTCTAAGGTTTTAGGGTGGGGAGGGGGTGGGTAGAGTGAGGAGTTAGAGAGAGGGGGGGGGGGGGATTGGGTTTGGTGTGCAGAAAATGGGAGGGGGAAGGGAGGTTTATATAGGGACGAAACCGCGTGCTGGAGGTGCAGTTTTGTCCTTTTACCGCACCTAAAACCGCGCCTCCAACGCGCGGTTTGCGTTCCCCAACAGTCAAAACGCGCTTCGGGGGAGCGGTTTGACTAAGCGACGTGGATCACTGAGCTGGCACGCGGTTTGGCCGTCAGATTGCTCCCCCATTGCGCGGTTTCATGTACCACCATGTGGCAACGCGGTTTGACAGCAGGAATGGTCAAACCACGCGTTCCACAGGCGGTTTGTCTCTTAACCGCGCCCTGGAGGCGCGTTTTGGTTTATAACCGTGCTTTCGAGGTGCGTTTTGTGTGGAAGGGTGGTATTTTTGGAAATTGTTGAGTATGGGTGGTATTTTTGTATTTTTTTATAGTGGTAGTTTTGGATTTTTTCCATAGAATGAGCACTAACTAACTTGTGGTAAATTCTTAGGGTGGCTTGTTTGTTGGGCTTGGATAATAGATTTTGTATAATATCCAAGTTTGATGGACTTAACACAAGTTCAGTGTTGTTAATGCGTGACAAATTCGTCAGGTCCACAGATTGGTCTTTATTTTGGATCCAAATTTGTGGACCACACGAATTTGTAAATTCACATATGGAGTTGGGATTTGTATATCCTTAATGACAATTAATATATATATATATATATATATATATATATATATATATATATATAGTGACGTATTCGGCGCACCCACTTTTCTTGGTGCACTCAGTGCACCCGCCTCATAATCATCATTCTGAGCATGCGCTTCATGTCAAAACGGTATCAGTTGTTGCTTATGATATTATGAACAAGAAGCACATGAATTTGAAAAAAAATCATTTAAAATTTACTTTAATTTGAAGGATTTAGGATTTAGGGGTTTAGGGTTATGGTTTAGGTTTACTGTTTGGGATTTTGCATTGGGATTCAAAATTGAAGGTTAAGGGGTTAGGGTAATAGATTCATTTGTTATGATTCTATGTCATATCATCATATTAGATTGAGAGTACTAATTAAAGTTCAAAATTTAATGTACTATGGACACTTTTAGAGATGGGTGCACTCAAGTGAGTGCACCGTAGTAGCCACCATATATATATATATAACAAATTCGTCATACATATATAATTAAATATATCGTGCAAACAATAAATTTTCAATCCCTAATCGCTTGGAACCTCCGATTACAAACGTTGTATTCTCACTATACATGTATCCGGTAGAATACAATGTTTTTTTACTTGATGTAATAACATAATGCATGTATTCATAATCCATATTGTATTCCTAATACATAGAAAATGATGTATACTGAATCTTACCTTTTTGGTGAGATTTTAGTATACATAGTTCATTAAAACTATAACCCATGCATTCTTTAATGGTTTCCAAACAATGAATTTTCAAAACCACACATTCTTAGCATACACATAATCTTTAATACACACATTCACGTAATACATCATTTCCCGAATCAAAGGTTCCAAACAACACCTAAATTCATCATAAAGCTCTAGGTTTTTTTGCCCAAAAGCCTCATTTTTAGATAACGACTTCATTATTAATATACATATATGAGACATAATGCTATATTTTTGGAGTATACGATACTACAAGTACTTCTAGTGATATATTTTAT